CACATGTTACTGCCATGAACCAAGGGCCTCACGCATGCTAGGCAGTGCTCCACCGGTGAGTGATAACCCCATCTATCCGGAATTGAGCTCATGGCCGGGGAGATGGCTCGGTGGAATAAGTGCTTCTGTGGCAAGCACAAGGGCCTGAGTTCAATCCCTGGTTCCGGGAAAAAAAAAAAAAAAAAGACCCTGTCTCTAAAAACAAAGGTGTGAAACCTGTGTGCTCAACCCGCTTTTTAATATCATGTTAATATTCTGCTTTTGTAAATTATGTTTGCATGTGATTAGCTATATGAAATGGTTTTATGGTATAGGATAATGGGGCTTTCCTGTTCCCCCAAATATGTATCAGTGAGGCCTTTGAAATTATTAAAACAGTCACTCATAGAATGTTTTGATTTAAACAGTGAAATAAACAGTCCTCCATTTTATTCCTACAAGTGAGATGTACTTCCCTTAAACATTCGACTTTCATATTTTTTAAATCTACTTAATCTCTTCCTTTTCCCCTCATTCTTCTCCTGATTCTTTCAAGCATTCTATTATTTAAAGAATTTGGACTTCTCCACAAATAAGAGTCAACCACACACTGATACAGTAGCCAAGAACTGTAGGTAGGTGTAGGCCCGGATCTGACCCTTCTCACCTTCCTTGCCTGGAACTCCAGCTAGTTTGCATAAATTACTTCAAAATGCAAATTAAATCTGCCTCTGCAGAAAAACTGTAGGAGGCAATAATTATAGCAATTTGAGTAGGTGAAGGTCTAGAAGACAATGAAATATAGAAGATTTTCTGTAAGGGAGAGGCCTGAGTGATACGGGTAAGACATAGGCGTGACTTGCCTTGACAGGGACTATGACAGAACGTTCACTGCACACGCACATCAATGGAGGCTTATCCAAACCACCAGAAAAATCTGTTTCTGAAGGATCTCCTGCAAGTCTCCAAGGGAAACAAAATTCAGCAAGAATTTAGGATCTAGAAGGCTCAGGTATTTAGCTATTAAGTCAGCTAAACCACTGCTATTTCTTCACAAGCCAAGCCTTTCTAAAAAGAAAAACAGTAGGAAATCAAGAGTTGGGTATACACGTGGAAAGGTTTGTGTGTGTGTGTGTGTGTGTGTGCAAGGTCTCACTATGCAGCTCAGATTCATAGTGATCCTCCTGTTTTCTGCCTCCCTAGTGCTGGGATGACAGGCATGCGTCACCATGCCCCAACTCCATCGTTGGCTTAAGGTGCCTGGGGACGGGACCAGCACGGCACGTGGTGCCAGGGATCGAACCCTGGCCCCTGTACTTACCTAAGCAAGCGCTTAATCCACTGAGCTATCTTGCTGGCCCTGGAAAGTTTTTAAGAACCATATGTTTAATTAAGAAAAATTACCCAGCAGTAAACACATCAACAGAAGGTATTCTCAACAACTGACAAAAAAAAAAAAAAAAAAAAAAATTAAGGCAATTTAACTCGTCACAGGTTAACTTGGCAGGTAACTGTCACAGAACAACTTGCCTTTAATGAGAAGCTAATTGTCAGTGTAGATGTGTTATGAGTCAGCCTAAGCCAACTTTTTAATTAAGTTTTAAATTTCTTTTAATGGAAGGTAAAGCTATTCCTAAGCAAGACTTGCCTAATGGAGATTCTGCGCATAGGAGATATAAAGACTGTGCTTATTCAGTCGGTGCCAGGCAGAATTTTAAGCACTTTGCATCTATCAACCAGCTTTTACAAGGAATGTACTCTTAGTATCGTGACTTAAAAGTGAGGAAACTAACCTCTGGAGACACTGTAAGTAATCTGTCCCAGCCTCACAGCCAGGGTGCCACCTGGCCAGCTCCGCAGCGGAGCTGGGAACACCTCCTGGTACTCTGCACTGTGCTCAGGAAACGTGGTCTCAGCCCTTCATGAATTTGGTGGCCACGGGCAAGTCACCCACTTCTCCAAGCTGTCTCGTTCCTCTATGGGACACAGATTAGCAGAACCCACGCCAGGGCCGTGGGGAGGGAGGATCAGGCTCTTCCTGAACTGCAGGGCCCACCTAAGATAGGCTGGGTGCTGAGCTGGGTCCACAGGAGCCCACGGCTGCATTCCACATCCACATAGGTCTGATTTGTGGATGTTTCACACGATCCGCATCCTTTTACCCAATTATTGCATACATGAATAATTGCCTGTACTTGTAAAATCGTATCCCATGTTCTGTGATATCACATTAATTAAAACAGAGACAATGTTTTTATTAACTTACATTCCTCCAGCATCCTTGTCCAATCTTTTAGACCCAAACTACTGCGATGTATTCAGGAGGGCTGGAAGCATCCCTCAGCAAGCAGTTATAATTGCCCACCTGGGGCCCATGTTTGTTCTTTTTGCTTTCTTCCTTCCCTCCCTCCCTTCCTTCCCCCTTCTTTCAGCCTCTTCCTGGAAGAAACTGACTCTTTGAAATGTGCTGCCATATCCTCTATGGCCTTCCAGATGGCCTTCTGCCTTGAACTGGCCTCACTCAAGGGAACACCTCGGGACTTGAACTTATGAAGAGGGGAGACCCAAGGTGTACCTAGTAGCCAGAGGGAGGAAAAAAAAAAAAAAAAAAAAAAACCACAGAAACATCCGGGTCTCTTCCACTTAGGAAAAAAAAATCCTCTAGTGGGCAAGATGAGCTGATTTAAACAACAAAGGCAAGCGAAGACCATCCGTGGTGACCCCCTTGCTGCGCAAGCTTCCCTTAGAGTGCAGATTGCTTTACAGCAAGCTCTCCCCTCGCCTCCCCACGCCCCCACAGTTCCCTGGCACCTCTCTCCATGAGCCTCGGCTACCTCTGACCTAAATTTCCTACACCACTGCTGCTTTGCCTCTGAACAGGCAGCACGGAGATCTTGCTCCCCAGGGGCCCGGAGGTGGCGCGGGCGGTGCGCTCAGCTTGCAGCAGGACCAGCCGGATGTCGCGCCGGCGTGGACGCTGCCTCCCACGCCACGTCCAATTCCCGGCTGCTGGAGACGATCGGCGGGGGCGGAAGGAGGCAAGCGCGAGAGGGGGCCGCGAGCAGCTTGTTGCCTGGCAACAGCTCCAGGTGACGCCAGACCCCCTCCCCCAAAGCCAAAAGGCTCGGCAGCCGCAGCCGGGTCTCAAGCAGGGGTGTAATAAGGACACAAAAGCACAGGCGGCTGAGGAAGAGGGCAGAAGCCCCAGCACGGACCCGTACCGCCCTCTTTTCCACGCCGGCAGACGAGGCAAGCCCCTTGGCGAGGCCCCCACTTCCTCCCCTGCACTTCTCAGCCACGTTTTCCAGCGGAGGCCTCGTGGCAAAGCAAAGCGAGCCAGCCTGCCCCTTTTTGGCCGCCAGACCCAAGCAAATGGCTCAGCTCCAACCTGCAGGCCCAACATCCAGGGCTCGCAGGACCTGACCCAGGCCTCCGAGGGCGAGCCCGGGGTGAGCGGGCTGCGGCCGGCAGCGTGCAGGCGCCAGCGGGCACCCGAGAGAGAACGGTGCCCCCTGCTGGCGGCCGCGCGCGGGTCCCTTCGCCCTGTTGTAGGTCGTGAGGCCCCTGGTGCCAATGGAGAACATCTGTGGTGAGCGCCAATGGAGAACATCTGTGGTGAGCTCATTCTTGCCCTCTGAAGGAATAATAGTGTGGCAGGGAAAGAACCGGGGCGCCAAAGAGCAGGCCGGACGGAAGGACCGGCGTGCGAGGCGAGGCCCCACTTTTGGGTCTGGCAGGGTCGGGCACAGAACGCTCATACTTACTTCCGGAAAAACAAAAACAAAATTCAGTTTCACCGGAAGAAGGCAGACGCCCCCTCGCTACCCCAAGCTCGGCCTGTCTAACTAAGCTGGGAGTGCTTTTCTTTGAAATACACAATTCATTGGCTTAATGGACGATGCACAGCGGGCCTCGGAGAACACGTAACAGACAGATGTAAGCGGGCCTGGACCCGGCAAAGGCAGAAATTAGGAGCTTGCCTTGAGCTTGAGGCAGAGGCGTCCGAACCGAGGCCCCGCCCACAGCGGTAAAGGAGCGCAGCGAAGCACACTGTTAGAACCGCAGTGGCCTCCCCGGAGGCCCATATGTTTTTTATAAAAAGACACAGTGTGAGCATTGTTCTGTGCTCAATAGCACGACTGTTGTAACTAATGCTTTTGGTATGAATACGGCCATTTAAAATTCCCAACCCCATGCACTTTGTGACAATACACATCAGAAAACAAGCCCAGAAGCAGAAATTTCTCACTCGGGGGTCAGTTGGCCCTAAATACATAGACCTATGCCTTTTAATCTGCCCAACTTCCAAAAATACCTGAACCTTAGGAGAACGATGTTTTTGTCCTACTGTTTGCAGCTACAATACCAAAGAGGCTTTTCCCAATTTTATATTCGCACCTGATCCTCGAGCACGAGGCTGGTGCGCAACTGGGGCATCCGTCCCGTGTTTCGCACCGCCTCAGCCCACGCTGGGATCGGCCTGCCAGGCCCTCTGGCCCTGCGTGGACAGCGCCAGAGGCCTTACTTCTCCCTCCTAGCTTCCATCCTCAACTGGGCAGAGCCGGGTGAGCTGTTTCACTTTTATTTCCTTGTTTTCTTTTTGTAGTATTGGGGATCAATACAGGGGGGGCCCTGCCTGCTACACCAGGGCTCTACCACTAAGCTACACCCCAGAACCACTCCCCTTTAAATTTTCAAGGCAGGATCTCACTAAGGGCTGGACCTTAACTGGAGCTCTTCCTTGCCCCAGCCTTCTGAGTATCTGGGATTTTAGGAGGCAGTGTCCTACTGTTGTAGGCAGTCGAGTTAGATAGAAATATTTTAGGCAGTCAGGTAGGGCAAGGCCCTCAAAAGAGATAACACAAAAGTTCAGATGTTTTGCAACACTGAGATGGATGGATGCTCCTGCTCTGGGTCAGACCTAAAGACCAAAGATCAAACAAATGCTGACCTCCCTAAAGATTGGCATCCGAGATTGATCATCACCCTGAGGGAGAGCCAAGAATCGTTAATCCAACTGCTACTGGATGCCTACCTCATAAAATCCTGTTCTACATTCATGCTCGCTTGCTACATGACTCACTTCCCCATTTGGTGCTGGATTAATCTTTTTTTTTTTTTTTTTCCGGAACCAGGGATTGAACTCAGGTCCTTGTGCTTGCCAGGCAAGTGCTTATTCCACCGAGCTATATCCCCGGCCTCAGGATTAATCAATTTTACCTGAGCGCTGGTGCTTGTAATCCTATTGGTTGACCATAGTTTTGTCCCGTCTCCTGCCCACCTAAGCGAGTTCCCATTCTTTCCACTTAGCCTCACATGGCTTTACACTATGAAAGTCCCTGGAAGAGACAGCTTCCTAGGGGGACAACCTAGCTCGGGCCCCTCGCCTGTTCCTCTCTCAGATAGGAGCTTTCTTTCCCTCAATAAATATATTCCCATAACCTCCGTTTGTTCCTAAAATTCATTCTTCGGTTTTAGAGAACACAAACTCATGCAGGTCAGGTCAGAAGATGATTTTTTTCCCTATGTCCTTTGGAGGTTCTCTGTATTGTTTGGAGGTCACCCACCCGAGATCAGTTTTTCTCCCTGTATCACTACTACCAGAGCTGAGGGTGTAGTGAAAACCAGCTGGAGACTTGGACTCAGAGGATCCGATTCAACGGCTCGGATCAGACCCTGATCGGATCACACTTCATGGTAGGGAAAGGCTCACTGGGTCAGTTAGGGGTTACTCGCAGTGGTAGAGTTGAAGGCTGTGCAGTTTGTAGAAAGACCCCTTCCTGTTTTCCCCGTATGTGTGTAGGACATACCCTACACACACACACACACACACACACACACACACACTCCTCTTAGGAAATATTTATTGGCAAAAATGCTGCTTTGCAAGTGGAAGTGCTCCTGCCTGGTGTCCCCTGCAACCAATCCTTACGGAACCCCTCATCACAGAAGGGGGCAAGTTGCAGGTTTTAAGTAAATCCCACATAACCCAGAGGACCTGGGGAAGGCCGTGTGGAACAGAGGGAAGAGTTCTCCCAGGAAGGCAGCTGGGCCAGGTCCTCCACTCTCTGATAAACCTGCATCGCCCCAATGTGCAGAGTGGGTCCGGACAGTACTCCCCACTCCACCTGCTTGAACTAGGTAGCAGGAGGAGGGAAGGGCTGTTTATCCGGAAGGCAGGTCTTTGGGGGCCAGGATGGCCTGGGAGAAAGGAGCCGAAGGCCCAGGTCACTCCTGATGGTGTCCAGTTGGTCCTGCAGGAGCCGGATACGCTCGTCCAAGCTGCGCTGCTGGGCCAGGAGTACAGCCTTGTCGGCCAGCAGCACGCAGTAGGAGCGCATCTCCTCAGTTGGCAGCGCCCGTGCCAGCACTTCGCGCAGGGCCCGCTCACGCCGCGACACGTGTTCCTTCAGCTCCTTGGCGTCCTCCTGCTGTCGCTGCAGCAGCCCAAGTCGCTGCAGCAGAGAAGCCTGGAGTCACCGGGAGGGGGCGCTGTGAGCGCACGGCTCTGAATGGCACCAGCAGACTCCGCAGCCACCCACCACTCCCAACACCCATTCCACCACTCCCAGCTTGAACCCGTTTTACCCGCTCATCTGGGTCACCGTCTGGGCCCACCCGGGCCAAAGCGCGGTGCACACGGGCCAGCCGACTGCCCAGCAGCAGCAGGAGGCCTAGCACACGTTCTAGGTCAGCCATGAACCGGCCGAACCGCTCCAGCTCGCGGGGCGCACAGGACCGGCCCACTGCGGCCTCCAGCGCTGCCCTGCGCCCGGCCCATGCTTCGGCCACCCCTTGCAGCTGCTCCTGCTTGGCCTGAAGGTACTGCAGCATCTCTTGGAGGAGGCCAGCTAGCTCCACCTGTAGGGTTGAGGGCTAGGAACTCAAGGGAGGCCAGGCCCCTCTACCCAGCCTGCAGGCACACTGTCAGACGCTCCACACTCACTTTCTTGGCCTGGATGCTGACATTTGGTGCTGAGAGCCCCTGGCCACATGGCTGGCAAGGCACAGGTTGGAGTGTGGCATTTTCTGGCTTTGTCTCCTCCTGAGAAGCTGGTAGCAGCTGAGTGAAGCTGAATTGAGGGGACCTGAGGACGAAGCCAAAGCTCCTTGGGCTGCTCTGCCCCAGCCTGTAGGACACAGGATCCTGGTCCTTGCTGCCTTTGCTTACCCTGGCTCAGAAGAACCTGTAGCCTCCTCTCCAGCTGGCCTCATGGTGGCCCAGACCTCTGTCCCTGGGATCAGCCCAACCAGCAGGCCCAGGGCAGGCTCTGGGCTGGGCTCAGAGGCAAGAGTGTCCCTGAGGGAGGGATCCAATCTGGCCAGCTCCTGAACCAGCTCCTCCAGACGCTGGCTGGGCCATGTTGGTCTAGAACCCAGCTGGCTGGTGCCCTTGGCCAGCAAAGTGTGATGAGGGGGCCCTCTGGTGCCACTGCCTAAAGAACCCAGGGCATCCACTGGGTGAGGCCAGAGAAGGTTGTCTTCTGCAGCTGCAGGGCTGTCAGGGGTCGGCAGTCCAGTACAGCCAGTGGTGGAGATGTCCCCATTTGTAGTCCCGGGACTGCTATAGCTTGTGGGCCTGGAGACACCCACAGAACCATTCACCCCCTGCCAGTAAGCATCTGCCCCTGCAGTCCCAGGACACTTGTGGAAGGGACATTTTAGGGAAGCTGTAGCCTGGCTAGCTCTTTGGCCCAAGCATGTTCCAGGATTCTGGTCAGAAGCATGAACACTGGAAGCAAAAGAGACAATGAATCAGAAAAGATTCTGGCCACAGACAAACAGGGCCTTCCAGAGCAGCCTGCCCTGCCCACCCCACCCCACCTCACCCCTTGGGCTTCCAGGCTTCTTTGTAGGAGAGGGTCTCTGCCAGGCAGCCTTTTTGTTATACATATGGGAGGGGAGTATCTCACTCTGCTTGGGAATCAGGGAATTCACCTGGTTGATGTTTTCTCTGGGGAGCAGGACCCTGGAGGTGATCTCACCCTGTCCAGCGGGGCTTCCTCCAGGAACACGTCATCATCAGGAAGGGAGGGCAGCTGGGCAGGCTCCAAGGTGCAGGTCTCTTCCACCTTCTGTTCACAGTCCACTGCCGGGCTGCTCCAAGATACCTCTGCAGGACACACCACTGACGCCTCCTTCTGAGGCAAAAACCTGGAGGCAGGGATGCCACACTGGCCACAGTGCCCTTCAATGGCCCTCACCGCACCAGGGAAACAGAAGGCTCAAATTGCGGGCAGGTGGGGGCCCCCATCTCCTTTCTTGATCAAAGCCGTGAAAGTTGCCTGCCCAGGACTTCATCCTGAGTGACCCACACTCTCACCTGGAAAATGTGGTCTGAAACAATGGTCTAGGCGGTTCTGCTCCTTGGGGAACTGCCTGGAAAGCGAGTGGCAGATGAAGTGTGGCAGTCCCCCACACCCTCCTCCAACCTGAGCCCTGTTTTTTCCCTACCTGGACAGTGGCTATGGTCCCTCCGGGCCCTATGCGCGGACCCAGCACCTCGCCTGAAGCACTCTGGCACCGACCACCAGACCTCCAGGCATTGCCAAGCTTCTCAGACCTAGTGTCCAGCTCCTCCGTGCTTTGGGGTTGGGTCTCCCGCAGCCCTTGGAACACAGCCCTCGCCTCCCGCCGCAGTTGGGGCTCTGGCCTGGCTTCCCTGGCCTGCCCACCACCCTGACCCACGCGATCCAGCTTCCCCGGCTCCGAGAAGCACCACTTCCTCTGCTGGCCAGCAAGGCGCCCCGGGCCCGCGGTTCCAGGCGCAGGCGCCCGGCAGTCTCCGCCAGGGTGGCTGAGCGAGGCGGAGCGCGGGTGCGCCGTGGGCGGCCGAGCCGGGGCAGCGGGCCGCAGGCATGCGGGCAGGCTCATGCGGAGCTCCCTGCGCTGGAAGGACGTCTCCCGGAGCACCCTCCGCTGCGCGCCCTGCAGCCTCTGGCGGTAGGCGGCCCTAGAGGCTGGAGGGCTGGGGGGCTCTGCCACCCGAGCCCCGGCCTGGGCCTCGGTGGCCAGCGCGTAGAGCAGTGGCGTGGTCTGTCGGCTGAGTGACCCCGGGCCTTCCCGGAGCTGCGGCCAAGGCCCGCTGGGCGTGGCGACTGCTGGCCCTGGCCCGGGGGCTGTGCCGAAGGCAAGGTCCGGTTGGGCTGGGCCTGGGCTACCACAGAACACTTGCACGCAGTCCCGGTCCACGTGCGACGACGGGACAGCGGGGCCAGGCGATGGGGTGCGCCGCTCAGGGCCCCCAGAGCCGGTGGAGAAGGAGCTGTAGGCTGAGTCAGCCCCCGTGGACCGCCGCCGCAAGTCCAGGCTTCCAGGCTGGGCAGTCTGGGAGGCGTGCTCACCTCCATGACTCGGGGCCTCCATGGTTGTGAGGATGGAGGCCAGTGGCTCCTTAGGTCCTAGGGAAAACACAAGGTGGGTGAGAAGCCCTGAGGAAGGGTTAGGACAGTCTGTGGACCGGCAACCCAGGAGCCAGGCACTCAGCTGCCCCTCCTAGTCATGTCCTTGCTACCCTTCCCTGTGTTGATGAGTAACACTGGCATCAAAGATGGTGGAAGCAGTAGGCCCGTCGCAGGGAGCGCCTCGAGGCTGAGGACCTCAACTCCTAGAGAAAGAAGCTGGAAGCCTGCTGACTCCTGCTGGGGAGCTCTGAGCCCCGACTCTACCCTGGTGCCTAGATAGGGACTGAGCACACCTACACTCAGACCCCA